GTCATTATCCAACCATTAATATAACAGTACAGAATTGTTCCGATTATTGGTAATGCATGTAGTGGCATTGTTAAAAGAAGTGTCAATATCTAAAGCAATAAAAAATCGAGTAAAAATATAATATATATATATATTTACATAATGTAAATAAGAAGATACAAAGAGTGGTTGAATACTTACTTGTAACATTACCAGAGCATATATTTGAAAACAAGTTATTGTAAGGCCAGAATATACACCTCGACAACAAAGAGTAGATTCTGATATGTTTCTTTCTCTTTCTAATATATAACCAAGACCTCTTAACCTTAAAACATCATCAAATAAAGCATCTTGCCATATTGGAGTGACAATAAGATAAAAGATAAGAGTAAATAAGACGGCCTCAATTAAACAAAAGATGAAAGAAACTATCCAGGCAAGCCATACGGGACATCCCGCGCTTATGAGAGCATGGGCTTGAAGCGAAAGTAAAAATCCAAAGCTCAAACCAAATGCAAAAACTGTAGCAATTAAGGTAATGAATAAAACACAAATAATTCTTTTAAGCAAAATCCAATTAGAGAAAAAATAGAAGATTCCTTGAATCGGGTAATATGAAATTGGAAGCACCATGGTATATTTTGACAAAAAAAAAAGCCACGGAGATTGCCTTAAAATACAAAATGGCAAAAGATTTCGTAAAACCTTAAAACGGTTACCTTGGTAATACAAATTCTAATTTAGACGGAATTAAACAATATCTATTGAGAATTCACTGTAGGTGAATTCATCACTATGTGTTTTAGGTTAGAGTTGGACTAGTACATTTTTACTTGGTATATATTCTAAGAAATAACATATTAGAAAATCAGAAGTAGATATATATATAATACAAAAAGTTACTATTGATAAAATTGATAAATCTAGATATATAGATGCTTTAAAACTTCGCTGTAGCTCTATTACTTTCCTTGTGATGCATGTCAAGACTATCGTAAGAGGGAAACTTAATTTATTTCTACAAAAAAACTTTATTATATTTTATATAAGCATTAAATTTTTTTTTAAGTAAAAAGTTTTAGACTTCACGTAATCGTTATATCATTAGCGTTATATCATTAGCGTTATACGAAAGTATAACGTCACAGGAAGTAGAGAGTAGATTTAATTGGGCTTTTGATAAATATTTTTATATAAATTTCTTTTTTAACCCTACAAGTAAAACCTTTATTTATGAAAGTATTAATAATAAATATATATTAGGAATATCTTTGAGATCGTAGAAATCTTGAATATAACATTTATTTAGGGAAGTTTTAAGTGGGAACAAAATTAATTCGGAATTCTTTAGTTAATTAGAATTTTAGAGTTGAATTTATTATACAAATCTATACCCTAACCTTATTTTAGCTAAGAAACTCTTTAAATCCCGTTTTCATTTACAACAAAAATAAGGGAGTTAAGTAAATGGTCAACAGTGTTATAATGCAACAATTTCAATAATATCGTTATATAAAATTTATCATCTATGAATATATCCGATAAGTCGTGAAAATGTTAACCTCGACTATTTGATTTTATTTTTAATAACAGTGGATGAAAAAGATCAAGTATATTACTGTAATTCAATTATCTTTAGCTTACAGTTAACATTACCGATATAATAATGAGAAGAAAAATAATTGTTGTGGATATATTATACTTTGAACTAAAAATAACCTTAGAGAACCTATAAGTTACTAAACATAAAAGAAAGTTATGTAAGAAGAAATTATAATAATAGCAAAGTAGCAAATTTTTTTTTATGGGTACAATCTTTAGATGAAGCAAAATATGAATAACAAAAGTTAGAGTTTGGAATTCAAAAATATTAAACAAAATTGAATAGCAAAACAACTTTCAATGGGTCAATATATGTCGAAAATGTGTAATTTTAATTAGCAGAATATATTTTAACCGATCAGAGCTACTTACCATTATTATAATTATTAAAATAAACATATAATTTATTACATAAAAGAAAGTTTTTTAAATACTGTAGTGAAAAATAATCAGCGAGTTTTATCATTCCCGATAAGCAAACTTCTGCCCAAACAACCTTGTTTTTATCAAAGTAAATAGAGTTATTTCTCAAAGATTTTCATAATTTTTTTTGTTATGGATCTTTAATATCGAGCTAGTGTATTGTTAATATTATGTTTTTTTTTTTAAATATTTTAATCTTATACTAAAAGCTTAAATGTTAGAAAACAATCATTCTTCTCAATGATATCTTTTACCCTTAACAAAATTATATAATAATATGAAAAATGGCAAATATTTATTATTATTTTTGTATTTGTAAAATTTTCGATGACACATAAAATCGACAAAAATATTCAACCACTGATTGAGGTATTTGATCTTTCATAGCTAAACATCACTACAATTATTAGCAAACTATAGTGATACTTGGGTGTATTATTGATTTTTATCCAGCTAAAATTATGACATAAACTTGCGCACTATTTTGATCACTAAAAGAACAAACTGATAATTTGAGTGGAATTGTTTTTTTTTGAACGTCGACACACATTAGAAATTGCTTTTACTGTAGTGTGATGCTTGAGAGCGCCCTCAAAGACAAAAACCACTTAATCTATAGAGTTGACTGTAAAAAGCACATTGTTTACGTTATTCTATGATGTGTGGGATCACTGATTAGAACTTAGTTTATTTTAAATGATAGTTTTTAAAATATTACTAGCTATGCTCATTTATTAATTAAACACTACAAATAAGAATTATGAATTTAAATGCTATGCGTTCGAGTTAATGTTTTTTTCGTCTAATTGTTAATTATGACAATGTCAAGCAAAATATTCAAATGTTACAAAGTTGCAAAGATTGTTAATTGTTAAAATTCTGAAGTTTCTTTTTAAAGAAAGAAATCATTTAATATTAGGAGTTGAGGATTATTACAGTATTAAAAATAATTTCTCTTTCGTATCAGGTATGGCTTTACTGAATGATCTGATTGGCTGAACAGTTGATCACAATTTATCAGTTACATGCATGAAATGAAATCTGCTTTTACAAAATGACATAAGCGAGAATTTCCTCTAACGTGGGCTATAAACATCTTTCTTTTCTTAGAATTAGTAATTATTAGTAAAATTGTAATAACTGAGTAAATGATTAATATTAGATAATTCTGTAATTATCTACATAGTGAAGAACTTGTCAGTAGATTGTCATAAATTTATTTCAACAAATAAAAGGCTTCTTTTTTTTTTTATCTGTTATTGCCGACCCAAATTTTTTCACTTACATGTTATTGTATTTTGATATGCAAGCAACATAATTTCCTCTTCGAATTATTGTACTGTATAATTTATTTTCTGTTTTTTGGGATGTTCTATAGAATAGGTGGGCAATATAAGAAATAAGCTTCTCTATGATTAGTAATCATTGATAGATACTTAGCGGGGTTGCGGAGTTTGCCCACCTATTCTATAGAACATCCCTAAAATTTCTCAAACTAACATTTTTTCATATTTAAATTAATAGTATAATAAAAGATTATTTTCTATTTCTTTTTCTAATTTTTATCACTCTTTTATTTCATATTCTAATCTTTCACTATACCTCGTTATTGATTTTCTTCCAATGTACATTGAATATTAACTTTGTAAATTCTGGATTTAATGTATTAAAATAATCCATAAGTATCAACTTTTAATTTTTATCTAATAAAACTTCTGGATTAATATATGAAATAAATCCATAATAATTCCGCGATCATGCAAATTTCTCTTAGACAAGTAAAGCTTAATTAATGATAGCACGCTAGCCCTTCCAGTAGAACTAAATACAAATATAGCTAGGTTTGCCTTTCACTAATTACTCACTTTACTTTTCCCAAAACTGATATAATATAAAAGAAGCTCATTGTTATCATTATGGAATAACGGCTATAAACGTGACTTAACAGGTGATTGTATTATAAATTCGTTTATAATGAATTCAATAACAAGTGCTAATGCTAAATTGTTAATGGTAGATTATATTAACAGAGACTCAATGGCAAAATCTATCCCAACGGCCTTCATGACTAATCGATTATTATTCAATTCCCAGTTGTCGTTTATAACGTAATATAACATTACAGCTCATATTATGATAATATTCGAATCTCTTCTTTGAGAATTATATTTTACTTGAAAAGGCATTCCATTAATTTCTCAAATTATTTTACCAAGTCTCATGGATAGGGAATAATCTATGAAGTAAAATTTAAAATGCGCCGACAATAAAAATATGGTAGGTAGTATTCATTATTCATTTTAAGGTTATCTTCATATAATTTGTATGATAAAGCCTGAAGTTTAGAATAATTTATTTTAATATCGATTATTTTACTAAAATTAATGTTGTTATTCCAGTCAGTCAAAAAAGGCAAAAAAGTTTAAAGTAAATTTTAATGAAGAAATACGTACTCAAAATTCATATTTACATAAATGACTAACCAGTTTATTATTTATATGATAAGTTTAAAACAATTACTATTTAAAATTGGTTTAGCTTCTTTTCAATAATACATGTATTTTCGAATAAAACAACCAATTATATGGTTATTTAGTAAGTTTTATAACCGGACAAAGTAATATTATATGAGTGCTGCCAAGGGAAAACCTGTCATCGAACTTTCAATAATATTTTGTGTACAGTTAGCCGTCTAAAGAAAATCTATATTTTACATAGACGGCCCTTGGCGGCACTCATATGAAAGAAAAGGATCAATTGATCAGGAAAACATAAAAATTTGTTTTTAAAACCATATAACTGCAATAAGTGATTTAGATAAGGTTATGTTATTTTTGTATTGGGTCTATCGTGATTTGTATAGCAATAAAAA